TTTCTAGAATACGGCCACTAAAAAATGTTTTGCACGAAAAAATTTAAAAATCCATTCACCTCTCTAGTCACCAAACTGCCGAAGCTTGTCTGTTCCATTTCAATCCAAACTTACCTCCAGATCAGGTCTTGAAGATCTCATTTATATCCTACACGGCACTTCATGAGGATCATAACCACTGTTTGCAAACAAAGGGAAGAAACAGTGAGGTGACTGCAGTTCAGCACTGTCTGCCCTGTTCTGCCACAGAAAACACCAGAAGATGGTAGGAATCACGTCATCCCAGTGCCCACTTGAGAGAAGTGCTCGTTTCCACAAAAATGAACGAGGATAGGAACAAATGTCACACCTGAGCTCTCTATCGCTTTCCCTGAGTCTCTTGGTAACTATTGGTTCAGTCTTCCATCTGCAGATCAAACACTTCAAATCACTCTCTAAGTCAGACCCATCACCCAAAACCTAGCCTAGGACTGAAAGCAAGTGCTTTGGTAATGATGGAGCCATCAGTCCCGTGGAACCCGCCTTGCTCCGAGCAAACAGGTGATGAGAACATTTGCAGGGGAAGTGGGTTAGCCACCGCCAAGACTTCCTAGCACAGACCGCACAGAACGTTTTTGTGTGCCACTGGCAGATGTAGCCTCCTGGAGGGATATTAGCAGCCTGAGCAGCTGTCCTTCTCAGAGGAGAACCTTCAGGGACAGGGTCCCAGAGTCCACATCATCTTCCTTCAGCATTTGGCAAGTGGACACCAAGTGACCGAATCCAGAGCTGACGACTCCAAGGAAGACATCTGCAGCCCACGATACCATTCATTGGCCACACTGAAAGGAATGCCAAATCTCAGCTGCTAGAGAGAATGGCACGCGCTGGACATGCAGCTCGGTTGCTGGCGTGCTTGCCTCGAGTGCATAGAGCCCTGGGTTCAATCCCCAGCACACATGAACCCATCCACTGTGATGGTACATACCTGGATCAGCACTTGGGAGATCAGAACTTTAACAACATCTTGGCTACACAGCAAGGCGGAAAGTGGTCCTGATCAGGGCTGAAAATGAGTGCCTCAGCAGCAATGGAGCCAAGAGTCCTCAGTCCTGTGGCGCTCCCCTGGTTTGAAACCTTATCTTAAAAAAAAATTAAACTTAGAATGAGATGGGCCTGAGGAGACTATTAGGATGTTTCCATAGATTGTGGAGCAAGGAAAACATTCAACTGAAAAGCCAAAGGAGGTTCTTATCTAAAAGAAGAAAGCCAGGCATAGCGGCACACACCTTTAATCCCAGGTCTTAAGAGACCCACGCAGGCAGATCAAGACCAACCTAGTCTACATGGGAGAGTTCAAAGCCAGCCAGGGATACACAGTGAGACACTGTCTCAAAAAGAATAGCAGGACATATTAGTTATGTGGGAGACTAAAAGAACAGCAGCTTAAGAATATGGGCATTCAGTTCTCCCTCAGTCCTGCAGTAAACATTCTACGTGAGCATTCTTTACTTGTGACAAAGCCACACGGGCACTTGGAATGGTGACTTCCTATCTTATTGCTCTGTATCCCACCTGCTATAATGCCTTTCAGCCTTATACCATTGAAAGGGTTATCTGTAGGGAAAGAGGTAGGGCTTGCCTGTCATGGTGCATCGATGGATGCTGAGGAAAACACATCACACCCTCTACTTGCTACATGCCAGTAGTACTTCCTTCTATTAGTTATAACAAGAGAAACCTCTCCAGATGTTTCCAAATATCCTACAGGGAAACAAAGTCACCCCTTCTCCAGCTGAGAATGATTGCATCAAAGTTTTGCTAATCTTTTCGTGATTAAATCTGAATGATAGAGTCACTATTTCACATTCCAAACTGAGCAAAAGTGGCACACCTTTAATCCTAGCCCTTGAGAGGGAGACAGAGATGGATCTCTGTGAGATCAAGGCAAATTCTAAGACAGCCAAGCTGTATCATTAATAAATTTTTTAAAAAATGGCTGAGGAAAAGGAGAAGTAATGCCGAGTGTCTAACACTAGGCCCATGTGCAATGAATGCATGCAGCTCTGTCTCTGTCTGTTCCTGGAAACTTAAAGACTTCAACTCTATTAAATATTTATGCATAGATAGAAAAGGTCTACTAGTAAGCAAATCATTGTGGTCTGGTGTGGCGTGTCCCCTTTAGGCTCAAATTTGCACACTCCCTCCCATGGGTTAGTAATGCTGTTTGGGAAGGTTACTGACCCTTTAGGTGGAAGAGCCTTACTGGGGGAAGTGAGTCCCTAAGGGTAAGCCGTATGGTGTTATGGCCCAGCCCCATTTCCTGCCTACTCTGCTTCCTGAGTACAAATCACTCCCCTCCCTGTCCTCATCCACGATGGCAAGCTGTGTCCTTAAGATTGTCAGCCAAAGGAAACCCAAAAGTTACTGCTAATCGGGTACTAGATCTTATACAAAAAACAACCTGCTAAGAGAGAAGCAGAAGGGATGACAGGAGCCATGTATTGTGTGGTCAAGAAATGCAGAGATGTAGGAAAGGAAGCAAATAATATAACCTAAGATGGCAGTACAGGCAGCTCCTCTAGAAGGAGGGAGACAGAGAGCACAGAACACGTGCAGGCCTGGAGATCACTCTCGCAACAAAACCTGCAGAGTGTCCTTCCTGGTGTTATTCATTTCCAACATGAAATTGGAAATGAGTCACTGGATGATTAAGAACATTCAGTTGGAGGGCTGAGATAATACAGCAGTTAAAGAGCCATCTGATAGCAACAAAGACTAAGCCAACACAGGATGTTTAATAGGAAGGTCTGGAAGCAATAACGGTTCTTCTATTGTTTGGGCCCACAAACTTAATGTGAGTTTTCTCGGCATGGCTGTACATTTTCCCCTATAGCTGCATGGAGTGATGGGGTGGAAAAGACAGGAAGTTGATTTGACTAGGGATGAAAATTTGTCAAGTATGACATGACACAGCAGGAAAAGTACAGAATTCAAAGCAGTGGCCTTAAAGCGTAAACTGGAGGAAGGAAGGAGAGAAGATGGTAAATGCCCAGAAAAAATGACAAGCTGATGGCCCCAGTGGAACAGAAGGATTACTAGAGTTGCGGGTATCAGAGAAAAAAAGGCCCAGAAAGATAAAGATGGTCTCTAAGTCACTGATATAAGAAAACGAGACTGCAAAGAGCTTGTAATGGTCAATTCTACATGTGACAAAAAAAAAAAAAAAAAAAAAAAAGATAGCTGAGGGGAGTAGAGCACAAGAGCTGAGAAATCGGGAGCTGGAGGAATTCCCACCCAATGTAGAATAATCCACACGTACTTTGAGAACAAACGACCCCACTTATAGAGAACATCGAGCATGAATGCTTGGTTGTATAATCTGACAAGGGTGTTAAGAAGAGAAAGAGAAAGGGCAAATGTGCTACAGGAATGGTAGTCCATGTAGATATATATCCACCCCAGGGCCAGTAGCAAGAAGAACAAAGGGACAAAGGACCCTCAAAACACACACACACACACACACACACACACACACACACACACAAGGGGTAGTTCCAGGTAACAAAGTGAAGACAGAAAGTGTAGTGCTAAAAAGCTTTGATTTGCGTTTCCCCATATTCAGAAAAAGAATACAAAAATGAGGACCACCTGAAAACTGTCACAGACAAAGATGGAATGTCTTCTTAGGCTGGTCCCAATGGATTCAAGTCAAAAGCAAACAAGAAAATAAGGAAGTTAGGTAGACAGACTGATACACAAGCAGACTTAGTGCCTTGGACTAGGTCTGCTTTGGGTAGTTGACATTGTTCTCTAAACTAACACTGTTTTCCAGTATTGTTTGAACATGTCATCTTGCCAGCAGTGGTAGCCAGTCCAGTGTTACTTTATTATATCACAGAATTCTGTAAGTTAAAACCTCAGGCAGAGCTTGGGGTAGACACCGGTTGGGTGGCGTAAGTCATGTGGGAGGACAAATGGGGTATTTGGAAGGATCACAGACAGGCTTGCTCACGCGCTGGAAACTTTGGGTCGGCAGGGAGGCTGGGCCTACCTGGGACTCTGCTGGAAAGCTCACCCATGGCACACAGCAACGCAGTCTAGGTGGAAGACCATCTCACACTTTGAATTTGCCTTCTGAAAGAAGCGTTCTCAGACAGGCAAGTCGAGATTGCAAGGCCTCTTCTGAGCTAGCCTTCGAAGTCGTATGCACTTCTAATATAACTGATGATTTATATGAGCATGTAATTTCAATCTCAATTTCAAGAGAAGAGGAAAAAGAGTGTGTTTCCTGGTGGGGCACTGACAAGGTCATGCTGTAGGAATGTGGAATGGGAGGTATGGTTGTGGCCATCTTTGGACCATCTAGCGTGCCCTAGTAATACCCATTACTTAAGTGCTAAAGATTGCCATCTCTGAAGTGACATTGCCAGTGATGGACCAGCTTGACTGCATCTTAAGATTAGAAGCCATCTTGTTACAAAGTCAAAATAAGCTCATTCACGGTTTCTGTAAAACTTATTTGACAGCTTCTTGACCCGTGTTCTGGAATTTGTCATGTTCCACATACTGTTCTCTGATTGCCGCTCTGATAGGACACTATTCTACCAAATGTTTTTAAGATGTTCTACCAAGTTCCTAACCAAAAACCCTTAGAAACCACCTAGCCTTGCAGTTTTGTGGCTAGTAAAACAAACAAACAAACAAAAAACATTTCTCCTGTGTTTAGAGCTATTGTCTCAAACCCTGCTTTAGGGAGATAGTCCTGTCTGAAAGGAAATAAAGCTTGCTTAATTCGACAAAAATATTTGGGTCATGGTCTTTACTGCCCTTTAGTGAGATTGACACCAGCTCACAGTGAGTATAAATTGTTCAGAACAGAGCTTTGAATTTGTTTTCTTCTTCTTCTTCTTCTTCTTCTTCTTCTTCTTCTTCTTCTTCTT